AAAAACCGAACAGAGGAACAGGCCCTGGCCAGTGTCAGCCTGATAACTGCATTCTTCCCTGACCTGTCTCAGCCTGTATTCCTTTTTTGGAACAAAAAATATGCCTCTTCAACCCCTCCTCCCCTCCCTCCCCCCTCCCCCCCCCTCCCCCTTGTTAAGGGGCCTACAGCTTTTTCATCGTTGAAGTGACCGGCGGCGGCCCCAGGGCCCAGGTAAACCCAGAGTTACAGTATTACTTTCATTATTATATTCAGAGTTATCACTCATCTGCTCGTCTGATTCCAGCAGTGGAATTCGATCTCAGCACCTGGTCTGTATTTCAACAGTTCAGTCCAGGGGGGGTGTACCAACTGAGCTACCGGTAGGCCAGTTCGAACTCAGGTTTACTACCTTCTTCCCCCGAATACAACGTACGGTCATTATTGCTGTATTTAGACGGAAAGATATCCCAAATTCAGCTATAATGACCGTACGTTGTATTTGGGGGAAGAATGTAGCTCAGTTGGTACACCCATGAACTGAACTGTTGAAAGCACAGACCTGAGTTCGAATTTGGCCCTCCCCTGCTTCACCCCTCGAATCTTTTTTTTTTTTTTTTTTTTTTTTCATATATTCCAAAATAGCAATTGACACCCCTCAATCTTACCCTCCCCTCAATCAGACCAGGCCGGACCTGAATGAAGTTATCCTTCGGGGACTCAATGAAGTTATCCTCGGGGACTTCAAAGGTTTACTGACGTACAAAATCTTTGGAGTCCCCGATGATAACTTCATTCTGATCGGGCCTGATCTGGTCAGGTCTGGCCCTGGGCTGGCCTGTCTCAGCTTGTATTCTGTTCTTAAATTGTTGGAATAAAAATTCGCGGACGGATGGAATCGCACAAACCCTCAGATTCTGCACCCTAGGCTCGTTTTTCTACTGTGCGTTCTGGCCCTTGCTGTCGTAAAGAAACGGTTTTTTGTCGTGATTGCTTTCGGGCTTGATTGGGTGCTCGACCCTCGGCCGCTTGATTGGTCGGTTGACTGGCCGCCCCTTGATGGCCCGCTGGTTGATAGCGACTGCTCTGCTTGATTGGCTGGTTTGCTTGATTGGCTGGTGTGCTTGATGGGGTGCTGCTCTTGATTGGCTGGTGTGCTTGATTGGGTGCTGCACTTGATTGGTTGGTGTGCTTGATTGGCTGGTGTGCTTGATTGGGTGCTGCGCTTGATTGGTTGGTGTGCTTGATTGGTTGGTGAGCTTGATTGGCTGGTGTGCTTGATTGGGTGGTGTGCTTGATTAGGTGGTGTGCTTGATTGGTTGCTGTGCTTGATTGGCTAGTGTGCTTGATTGGCTGGTGTACTTGATTAGCTGCTGCTTGATTGGGTGTTGCGATTGATTGGCTGATTGGCTGCTGCTTGATTGGCTACTGCTTGACCTGCTGCTGCTGCTGCTTGACACGTGTTTGGCTTATGAGTGGACGAATGAGTGGATAGATTGAATGCATGATGCAAGGATTTGTTCATTGATAGATGCGCTGATTAATTCTGTGTCGCTTGGGTGTTTATGGTTGTTGACTCTGTGGCAGGTTATCTTCGTCCCCAAGATGGTGTACCACATTCTTCTTTGGCCCGTTCTCCACGGTGCACTCACTGCTCCCGTGCAACTGGTGGCATGTGGAATTATGATCTGCGAGGATTAGGGGGATCATTTAGAAATGCCTCCTTACACTCCCATGTTGGCTTGCCACTATTGGGCGAAAACACAGATCATCACCGGTATCGCCATTGTCATCGTCACGCTACCGTGGCCTCTCCTCACCTGCTGGGCGATCGGAGGGTGTGCCTTGCACTCGTTGCCAATGGCTTGGTTGTTGACACCGCTCCTGATGGCGAAAAGGGCACTGAACAGACTAGTATCAGCACTGGTGGTAGGAACGGTTCTGCGGGTGGTAGCGATCCTCCGGGTGGTAAAGAAGGGGACGGATTGGGGGCGATGCGAACCCGGGAGCTATTTTTAGGATCAGGGGGAAACAGGCGAAACCAGTCGTCAGTGCTGACCACGAGTGATACGACGCGAGCGAGTGATGATGGACGGAGTGGGAGGGCGAATGGCAATGTCTCTCCCTTCGCAAGCACTGGGTTTGAGGATCTGAAGCTGTCACCGCGCCTTGCTGCACGTCTTCAGGAAATTGGGGTGACTCGACCCACAGATGTGCAGGTTGGTGCCATTCCCGTGCTAATGGAAGGCCGGGATGCGGCTGTGCAATCGTACACAGGATCAGGAAAGACACTAGCTTACCTGTTGCCTTTGCTCACAAGGGTAGGGCCACTGAAGGCGGAAATGGAGAGAGCGATTCCGGATGAGCTGGGAGGAGAAAGCGCCCCCGGAAATCGCAAGCAGCTGCAGGCGAAGAGGGCTGAAGCGGGGGAGGGTAAGATTGAGGCGGTGATTGTGGCTCCTTCTCGGGAATTAGGAATGCAGATCGTGCGTGAGATAGAGCGAATCGTAGGGAACGAACAGCGGCACGTGGTCCAGCAGTTGATCGGCGGGGCTAGTCTGTGGCGGCAGGAGGAGGGTTTGAAGAAACATAAGCCGGCCATTGTAGTTGGCACGCCGGGGCGCTTGGCCGATCTCAGTCGCTCCGGCCGCCTTCAGACGCATGCCTGCAAGATGCTTGTCTTGGATGAGGCGGAGGAACTGTTATCGCCTAATTTCAAGCCGGACATGTTGAGGATTCTCGAACACGTTGGCAGGAGGCGTGGCATCAGTTCATCTGCGCCGTCAAGCGCAGTACGAGGAGCCAGCGCACTGGAGATGGAGAAGAAGAGTAGGAAAAGTGAGCGGCAGCTCGTCCTTGTCTCCGCGACAATGCCACCGTCTGTCATAGCAGCTGCAGGGAGGTGGGGCGACGAAGCAGTCGTTGTGCGTGCGAGTATGAATGCCACAGAGGTGCAGCCATGGGAGAAGGCGATGACTAAGAATGGACGGCAGCACGATAAAGGTTCCAACCGTGGACCCGCCGATGCCCGTGAAGGGGCCATCGGCAGTGAAGAATCGGACAGGGAAGTCGTCGTGCCTCCCAACATTGCCCATTGGGTTGTCGTCACCGATGGTCGTCACAAGGTTGACGCTGTCAGGCGCACCATTCATGCTCTCGAAGCGCAGAAAGTGCTTGTCTTTATGAATTTCGGGCGTCGGCTGAAAGATGCAAGGTTCAAGCTCGCCTCTCGAGGACTTACCGTTGGATGCCTTCACGGAGATATGGGGAAAGTAGAGCGGGCAAATGTGTTAGCGGGATTCCGGGATGGCAGTTTGCGGGTCCTGCTGGTCAGCGATGTGGCCGCCAGAGGATTGGATATTGCCGATTGCGACCTCGTTGTAAACCTGGAACTGCCGACAGATGCCTCGCACTACGGCCACCGCGCCGGCAGGACTGGTAGGATTGGAAAAAAAGGGTGTGTTGTGTCGGTGTGTGAAGAGAGAGAGTCCTTTGTCGTAGAGAAGTTTGCTAAACGTCTGGGTATTACGATGACAAGGGGGGATGTGAAGGAGGGGTTCCTGGTAGAAAGTGAGGCGGTGGAGAGGAGGGGAGGGGAGAAAGAAGACGAGCCGCAGGAACAGAGAGTGAGAGCTCGCGGCAGGCCTTCCCGAATAGTTCCCGCAGTAGGCCTTCGGAAGAAAGAGAGTCCTTTGTTGCGAAATAAAAATGTATAGTTTGTGTGTTATTTTTTGTTAAGCGATTCCATTTCTTATGTGATTTGAATAGCAGCACACCTTATCTCTGCTTCTCTTCGTGTGTTATTTTTTGTTAAGCGATTCAATTTCTTATGCGATTTGAATAGCACCACACCTCATCTTTGCTTCTCTGTTATCCTGAATACTGTTTCCTCGCTTTGATTCGGTTTTTCCACCCCCCCCCCCCCCCTTTTTTTTTAACCGTTGTCAGGCTGCTAGAGGGGGTGGATATGAGCATCCCCTTTTTTTAGCAGCTGTCACTGGTTGCTCCGATCTATTGGTGGGGAGCATTATATATGTCGGCAAAAGAAAAGCCCCGAATTCGCAGTCCGGGGATGCACGTTGCGCATACGAATAATGATTAGAGTCTCCATCAGAGAAAGCGGTACAGCGTCCCCCAGACATCCATTTGACATCAACACCGGGGCCATTGTACCCGGCTTCGGCTGAGAGTAAGTAACCATTTACCACAGTCGGTCCCAAAAGTACAGAGAGTCAATGTACAGCAGTCTTAACCGGAAGCCTTTTACGGTTACGGTTACGGTGGCGAGAGCTGCAGGGAGTCGATGTACGACAATCAGTCTCCTCAGCCCTGTAGGGCTGCCAGATGGGCAGAAGGGTTCCTCGCCCCGTACACAGATCAGCCCCCATAGCACTGGTCCACTCTGCATATCCATCAGAGAGAGACCGTGGGGTGGGAAGAGGGTCGGGGAACTCTGAATGAGGGCGCAGCAGAATTGCTGTGTCTATTTTGGTCAAGTCCTTGAATGACAGAATGTAGTACCCCCTGAACATCTCCTGGCTTGAACTTCATTGGCCACCGCCAGCCCATTGAATACAGGCCATCCATCCGCCTTGTTCACCCTCCCCCAAGCCACTCCTCCGAAAACCGTCTGATAGTCTGCATTATGTCTTTTTTTGTGTGAAAGAGGTCTAGCTGTGCTTTTTACTTTCAGCCACTGTACCGTCAGGTTCGGTTGTATTTGCTGTTTTACCATTTCTGTGGTTTCCTGCCCCTCTATGTGTACATTCTCCATTATATATTTATTTGACAAACAGAGCTGCCCAGTAAACCGTAGGCAGAGAGGGAGAAGAGGACAACACACGAGGGGCTGTGACAAACTGTTTCGTCGGAGTTTCACCGACTATAGTCAAACAGAGATGCACGGTAAACTGTAGGCAGAGAGGGAGAAGAGGACAACAAACAAGGGGCTGTGACAAACTGTTTCGTCGGAGTTTCACCGACTCATCAGGAGGCTGAACCCTCAACACTGTCAACAGTCTGCAGAATCCCCTAACTGATTACACAGTAAGTGATAATCCACCTTAACCCCGGCTGTGGTTAAGCATCAATGACTGCCCGACAATATATATATATCACAGACATATGTTGGTTTCCTGCAGATTATCCATTGTATATTGAAATTCATTCAATAAATAGGTTAGGACTTTCCCGCATATAGTGAAGTAATAAGGTCAGAGATTACTCGTCTGACACGGCAATGAGTTTACCACTTTCATCGGCGAACAACCGAACCCTTGGAACCTCGACCTTCCACCATTACTGATGGGGTAAGACTATGCCTTCACCATATTCACTACAGTCACCTGTAAGAACTTAGGTACGAGCCGTATTACCGGGCAGTTCTATTTGACGATATATACTACGACTTCGCTAGCTTCCTGCTACGGTTTTCTCCGGTCAGGTCGAGCGGCAGTGGTCGGGGCCGTCACTA